GTATCGACCCACATGGACTTGTGAAGAGCAGCGAAACCCYGAGCAGAAGACGGCTGTCCTGGCAAGTCCCTCTGTCAGCTCAGAGGAGACTACCAATGTCCTTGACAGAAGGGAGGACCCCTGAAGCTGAGCGCCTGGCACCCTCATCAGCTGAGTGGGTACCGAGGGCTTTGCGGGGGTTGGAGCACCCTGCGGGAGGACTGGGAGATGCGTGGGTGGGCAGGGGTCACTGGTGGAGATGAAGGACTGGTGGGATTGAAACTGCAGAGAGTGGATACGGTCATGGTCAGTGGAAACAGAATTGAAACCTCAGGTGGGTCCCTGGGGCTGAGCTGAGGAGGGCTGTGTGTGCACCCAACAAACCTTGGAGCAGTACGTGATGCCGTGTGCCTTAGCTCCCGTGCAGGGGGTGATCTGCGTGCCCCGTTGTTTGTGGGGCTGATCCTTCTGTCTCTGGGTTGTAGGTACCTTCTGAGGATACTGCAACAGGGCAGTGGCAGCAGGGGCAACCCCTRGCTGAGGCTGGCTGCCTCAGCTTTTTTTTTTTTTGGCTGCTGGAGCCCGGAGCTGTCACAGCAGTGGACACTGGGAAGGCAATTCCTGAGCTGACATGGTAGTTTTGCAAGATTGTTTAAACCAGATGGGTTATGTGGAGCTTCAGGTTTTGCCAATAAGTTGCCATCCATGAAGTTTCCAGTCCTGCAGTAAGAGAGGCTTCAGAAAGTCAGATTATGATCTTCACAGCAGCATGCAAGGCCTTTGTCTGCAGGCATTCCTGCTGATTTCGGTGAWGCTGTGTTGCAAGGACCCCCCCGGACATGAGCAAGGGGATAGGAATCTGACTCCTGGGATCCATGCAGGGCATTCCTACATCACCTGGGGTGTTCTCACCCAGTGGGATCAAGCGCTCTGTTCCTGGGCATGGGTGTACCCTTGGGACTAGTTTGGTGTTTGGGTTCTAGGGAGAAGCATGGAGAGCTGCCTATTAAAGTTTGGAAGCTTCAGCTGGGAGTGCAAATAGTTGCCAGTTGTTTGTCATCMTTTCTCACATGCATTGGCCCATACATTCTATTTTCAGAGTGCAAACTAAACCCACCAGGAGKGAGTGGGAACTCATGTAAACAGCTGTCCCGAGGGTACAGTGCATTACTTGTGTTCTGTGTCAGAGAACTGCCTGTGTCTCCTGAGCTCTTCCATTCCCAATGGCTTGCGCACCCGTAAGCAGTGCGGCAGCGCTGCATCATCCGGCAGCCTTGGGAGGGTCCTTGCTGGGAAGCAGCACCTCCCTGTTCTTTCTCAGGTCTCCTGACCACCCTTAATGTAGCCACGTCCTGAATGGAGTCACCAGGCCTGTTCYTCAGCTTGGCTTCCCCATTTCCAAAAGAAATTTGTGTTTCTGCATTCCTTTCTTRGTTTATTGGGACCAGTTAGGCTATGATTGCTCTGAGGGTGCGTGTGTGGCTCTGTGGAGTCTTATCCTGCCAGATCTTGGGACTCCTGAAGGAGCAAGTGTTGGGAGCTCCCAGGAGGCTTCCTCTGCAGTACCCCTGGGCTTTGGACCAGCATGCAGGTGGCTTGACTCGTGGTGGCTTTCTCTGCTCTTCCCTCTGCACTTTAATGTGTCAGGGTGAGCGAGGTTTCTGCTTGGGTCACTCTGTCCAAGCAGTGACGCACGCATGTGCTCTTTTTCTGCCACATCAGTGGGTGGTTTATGGGCTAGGAGGGAATGATTCATAAATTAGTTAGAGTCCAGGCCTTTTCTCTCTCTTTTCTCTTTTCTCTCTCTTTTCTCTTTTCTCTCTCTTTTCTCTTTTCTCTCTCTTTTCTCTTTCCTTTCTCTCTTGCCCGGGTGATGTGAAGAGGATTCAGTGTCAGCCATTCTATTCTCCTGGCCTTCAGTTGGACAGGTTGCTGAGCAGTCCCGTTGCCACTCTCCAGCTATGGGTAGTCCAGCCTCACTTGGGGTGAAACACTAATCCCCTGTATAACATGGGGGAAACTGCACAGATTATTGCTAATAGCCTGCAGTCTTTAAACAAAAACCGTGAAAATACTGCTTTTTCCAGAATTTGTAATTTTGGGAGTCTCTTGCAACCAGAACAAGTGACCATCTTTGACGGGGACATCCCTGGGGGCCCCAGCAAGCAAGCATAAATGGCTATCTTGAGTGGGAAAGTGGCATGGGGGCGTTTTGGGTCCTGGTGTGCTTACACTGGGCTGGCTACAGTAGCACCGTGACTCAAGGGTGTGCTTTGTGAGGGGACATGGGGAGGAGAATTGAGGTGCAGGAAGCCACAAGGGGGGGAAATGTTTAACAAGCAAGTTCTTTATTTAAAATTATAATGGATAAGCAAAAAAAAAAGACTTTTGAAAGCAGTCATGCAGGCTGATTCCTCCCCTTGTTTTTTGATATGAGAAAGGGATTTCTGATGTGTTCCTGTGTGGTATGTAAAGAATTATTAAGTCTCTCTTAGCTGGACAGTCAGAAGCAGTGTTGAGGGAAAGCATCTGTAACAGAGAGAGAAAAAAAATCTTTCTCTGCTCATAGCATTAATTATTCAAAACCTTGAGCAATCCATGGTTATTGAAACCAACTTGTCTCATTCGCCACACTTCAAAATTATATTTACAGAGGTTAGAAAACTAAATATTTTTCTTTGTGGCTRGAGTGGTGTCATGAGAGACCCTGAATTATACAATCTGTTTTTACTGTATAAATTGTGACCTGGCTTTGGCCTTGGTTCCTGAAGTTTCGTATTTAAATGAGGAGGGATTGGAGCTTGTTTTGCCCAAGTTGGTTCTAATGTGAAAATTGTGGCCTCTAGATTTAGAACAGACCTCAAACATTTATGGTTCAGGTTGTATTTTTCAAGCAACAATTGGAAATGCTCACAAATACTGCGACACAGATTTGTTTTCTGTTTGGTTTTGTTTTGCTTCTACTCTTTTATTTTCTTGTTATAATTAGAAACTGCAAAGATTTGCCTCTAGTCTAGCATCTGTCTAGGCACAGAGTAGGCACATTCTTCTTTAGAGTGCAAGACATATTTCTGAAAGTGCCATTGGTATAAGTATTTTACATGACACTCCTGTACCTAGGAGAACATGTCACCTTGTCAATGTCTGATCCTTTAGATTCAAATTTAGATGGGTTGTTTGCTTCAGCGATACCCCTGAAGTGATTTTTGAAGTTGGATCCTGCCATTATGTACTGAAATGTGTGCAGGTCTCCTCCAGCACATGCCTCCTGTAACAGAGACCATGTTATAAAACATTCACCTTGGGCAATATAATTGTGAAAGAGGTTTGCCGAGGGCTGATCACGGATCTTGAGAAGATACTGTAAGAATTTATGAGACCCCTTGCCCTGTTAGCACATGCACTAGTGAGCACCTGTCTGATCCTACACAAGTGCCCAGCTTCATGTGCTTTGGAGCTCAAGGGCTGTGCTGATGTGCTGTGAGCCCACTCCTGCTTTAAATGATGATATTGAGTGTCCAGCCTCGTTGAGCCCCAGCAAATACCACATTGTGACATTACTCTTGGCATTTAATGCGTATCCTGGCTATTTTTCCTTCTTACTAATTTATGAAGCCTTCTGTGGTTTCAATGCTAGAAGCTTTTGCAGACTGTCTAGGTCTTCAAGAAACAGTAATCTTSTTTTGAATACTCTACTATGGATTAATACTCTTTTTGTATTTTAGGCAGTTTTGCATGAGACCAATAATGACTGAAACAGTTTCTAGGATTAAGYAATGCGATTAATACTTGTTTTCCTCATAATCTTCATGCAACAGAATATATTTATTGAAACTCCTTGTTTTGATAGGGTGGGGTTTTTAGTTGATCCATTTTTAGTTTACAGGCTCGTTATTTTATATTGATGTTGGAAAAAACAAGTTATAAGCTGCTTCATTTTTGGGAGCCTCGGGAATGGAGAGATGCTGCCGGTGATTCTAGAAATGAATGTGCAGCCAAAACAGGGAAAACAGGGGAACTGTTCTACTTCATACTCTGTTCTGTGCTTATTTCAAGTGGCTGGTGGACTATTGCAAGAGTCAGCCTGAAAAGAAATGTCTTATATGTTGGTGTGACTGAGATGCGAAACTTCAACTTGTACAAGTGTAGGATTTTGTRGTATCAGCAGAGCTACGTGGGGTTGAAATGGCTCATGGTTTTAAATGGATTCAGATGTCTCATGCTCTTCAGTAAGAATTGTAATTCATAAAAGAACCTTACAGTCAGTAGACTTCAGTCTTAAAATGCCTTATCCCATAACCATTATAAACGTATTCTGTGTGTTTCTCACGTGTTAAATTTAGCTTTATGTCCCTTGGTGGCTTAATTTGGCGTACTTGCTTCATGAAATGTCTTCCCCTTTGTTATTTCCTGCTCTTCTGTTCTCCGTGGAGTTTGAAGGAGGTTGGCTCTATTGGTCATGTTATTTTACTCAAGAAGGAATCTATTTTCATAGACAATGGAGAGATGGTCATTTAATTAGAATAGCTTCTACAAAGAAGGACTATTTTGCAAACAACAGTATTTTCTTTTCCTTTTTGTACCCTTTGTGGTCAAGGGAAGGTGGCTTTCCAGACTGGTTTTGGATTAAGAGCTGAAATAGTTCTATATGTAATATCTATGACACAGCCATATTCATTRTAATTGTTCTAGCTTCAAAATGGATCACCACTGTGTCCCAGAGTAAGTAAATTTACATTGAACAAACAAAAAAAAAAAATTTTTAATGTTTTCTGAATCCCAGAAATGGGGATTTAGGGCATTCAAAGGCTGACTCATGGACAATCAGAGCCTTTCCCAGCTGTGGCAGGCCCCTCCTAATTCCCATTTAAAGGGCACAAATRGGTATCGAAGTCTGGCCAACTGATGTGAACCACAGGACAGAATGGATTCACTCTGAGAAGATACACTCTTGTAATGCCTCTCAAGTTGTGGATTGCATGTCAAGAAATGTTTTTTCCTTTCTCTTCTTTACCTATCAGGAGCAGTTCCGAAAGGAGGAAGGAGAAGTCGAGAGATGCAGCAAGATGCAGAAGAAGCAAAGAGACCGAGGTTTTCTATGAACTGGCACATGAGCTGCCCCTGCCCCACAACATCAGTTCCCACCTGGACAAGGCATCCATAATGCGCCTGGCAATCAGCTTCCTACGGACTCATAAGCTTTTGTCTTCAGGTAAGATCTAACTAAAAGAAWTTTGTTCTCAGGGCTGGCTGATGGCAGCTTGGTAAGCTCATGCATGCGCTTCTCTGGCTACAGGGTTACCAAAATAACAATTAGTGCAGGTTTTTTGCCTCTCTGAAAAAGCCTCTGAGAAGTCTTGAATGTGGTTTATTGATCTCAGTTACAAGATTTTAAGCTTTTAAGRGTTTAATCAGAATTCAGACATAGCCTTAAGCTCCCATGCTGAAACAAATAAATTTTGATTTGGCTTGGCAAGCATGTTTGTGCCTGTGCATTCAAACAGCAGCTGGGTTGCTCTGAAGGTCCAGTATTTTGTTTGAAAGGGCTAATGCTGCTATCCACTGGCAATGGGTAGTGGGTAGGCTTAAAACAARATATACTAAGATAGCTTAAACAACTTTTAAATATTTGATGTGAATGGATTCTACGCAATGAGAGTCTTGCTCATGTTGGACTAGTAGAAAATGTGAACAAGCATAWTTTTTATAGCCTGGGAAAATGGATAAAATTAGCAATATTCTTATTTTGCCCCTRTATTTGAATAATCACTTTGATGGAAATATGAGGCTTGAGTAGCCTGTACGATCARTGAAAACMACTGATGTTTCCAGAACTTTCACAYGGTGACCTACGAGCRTTGAGAATACGTTAACAAAACAATGTCTGCATTGTTTGTGAATGGTAAACCCAAAATTTTGTCTTTTCCTTCATTAATGGCAAGACTCCCAATAAGGTCATGATTGCAYTTCCTCTCTTCAGAAAAGTTGAGTCATACCAGAGCAATTACTTYAATAAATGTTGTTAGGAAGCATCCCATTTTGCAGTTGAGTTTGCTCTTAGTTTGTTTTTGGTTGGTCTGAAAGATATGGCAGATTGAGTTCTGCTTCCGTGTGCTCTATAAGTTTTTGTAGCACTTTTCAGCACTTTTGCTGAATCTTTTTTAATCTTAGCTTAGAGATTGTGGTTTTATCATGTACTTCTGTGAAAAGACAAGTTTATTTGCTGAACAGTGTTGGGAAATCATCTCTGATTTTGTCGTGTAACTAATACTTGAAGGTTGCGTAAATAGGTAAATGTTCTTACACAAAGCCAATTTGTTAGGAACTTTCTCATAAAAACACAGCCTCAGCTTTTCAAATATTTATATGGCAAGAACTAGAGACTGGTACGGCATAGGAAAAGTAAACTTCTGAAAGRCTGTAACAGATAATATAAGTAATGTGCTTGACTGTCAAAATTGACATGGAATAGTTGGATGCAGTCATCATCAGAAAAATACATTTGCTTACCTGCTAAGACTAAAATGAACATTTCAAATGAATTTACATTTCTTAGTGAGGAAAATGTCTACAGATAAAACACTTATTTTGATGCTTCTATAGTGTTAAGGCTTAGACTCGTATTATTTGATAGTGATGCCAATTCAGTGTATGTGTATGATGTTCATACATATACATAAAGATACGATATTTTTGAGAAATATTTCTCTGACAGTGTTTGGAAAACAATGTGATTTATGTTTCAAGTCAGAAAATTTACATTTTCTTGAAGTATTACCAGTACCCAGCAGTAGAAAGGAATCTAGAAATGAAATGTTACAGTGGTAACATGCTGTGCTTTAATATTTCATGCTTTCTGTATCTTGGTTATTTGCATAGTCTTAAATCTGAAGCACTCCCTTCCTCAGTCTAAATATTTAATTGGAGCAAGTCCTCTGAGGAAAATTTGTATTGTTAGTCAAATGTAGATTTGTCCATGGCTGCATCTTTAGACGCCAGAGGCGTGTAGATAAGGGTTTCAAAATCTTTGATGCTTCTCTTCTGAGAAATTGAACTAAAGGTACTTTAAAAGAACAGATTTTTTTTTTAATTTTGGGTATTATTTTCTGATAATAAAAATGCATTAAAATGAATGAACTCAAGTCAGAAAAGCTTGTCTGCTGCTCATCTACCATTCTGAGTATAGTTAACACATAAATTACATTTTCTGTCTTTGGGGACCTCTGAATAATGTCAGTCTTTATAAGGACACTGGCTTTCACTAGAAGGTCATCCAGTTTAATTCAGAGTGGTGGGTTGTGGTGTGGCTGGAGGCTCACARATCAAGAGGTTTGCTGCTTATCCTATTTCAACAAGTGTGAAGCAAGGTGGGAACTGGGCTTGGGTGATGTTTGTGCTCTTTCTGTTCTTGCTTATGSTTTGGACCCTTTCTGAGCCCCGAGCAAAGCTGCAGGAAAGGTTTAATGTGCAGGTTTAGCAGCCTGGAATTTAAACATAAATTTACTGAYACATTTGAGGATCTGATTTGACTGACAGGGAGCACGGGGGACATAATGTCATCTCTTGACAGATGAACTTAGAAATGGGGAGGTGGAAGTGCATGAAAAGCGAATGCCCACCCCAGCCTACAAACCCCCTCATTGCTTTATATTGTCTTCATTGAAATGGTTTTGATTATTTGGGCTGAATACCTACGGTAAACTGGAGTTAAGAGAGAGAATTTGTTCTGTCAGTAATTTGGATGTTGAAATAACTGCTGCAGCTTGAAAAAAGCTTCTCAATGTAGTYGAGAAAAAACTACTGCTTGATTACCAATTTTTTTGTTTCTAATTTAGTCTATCAAAACCCACTGGCACACCATATTTTATTTTGTATTACTGTTTGTGGGCACAATTCTCGAACCCATCTCYCTGTTTCAAGGCAATTTTGCCTGAAGCAGAAAGAACAAGGCCTTTCCCTTGTACAAGGACTGTACCCTCATCTTTCTGCAAGCTGATGCTCCTGGTGGGATTTTGGAGATGACCATAGGCAGCTTGCCAGTCTCACTCTGCTGGCATTGAACGTCTGATCCCCTTTCCTATTATTCCCTGAGTCGGAATAAGGCTTTTCACTCGTGYAACTTGGGCTGTTTTATTAGCTGTGTCTGCATAATAATCATTTATCTGTTGGGAAGCCAAGACCTCGGGAAATCTATGCCCACATTCTTCCAGCAGGTGAATGGCAGAGCCCCTGAATCTGAGCCCTCATTGAGAGCTCTCCCACTACGTGCCTCGAAAAATCCCGACTTCTGGATTGCAGAGTGCACGTCTCCGGCAGGCGTTGCAGGGCCCGAGCTTGGCCCTTGCATCCTATCATAATAGGAAATAGCTGGTTGTATATCTCAGAGTTCAAAAGGGTAAAAAATACCAGGTTTTGCTTTATAAAAGTTGCTGCTTTACTTAGTAACACGTTTCCCTTTGATTTTCACAGTAGGCAATTCTGTGTGGGAATGTTGGAGAGGAAGCCTTTAACATTTAGAAATGCAGGCTGTTCGTCTGACGGCCTGATTGAGATTAGTATCACAGGAAGCAAACTGAAACAATAGCTTTATAATACTGTTTCCATGTTGTGCACAGAACAGTACACGGTATAATTGGAATGCTAAGTAGAAATATTTAATTATGTTCATCTTAAATATTTTTCAAGATGTCTCTTAATTCTGTTGGCATAATACTTTTTTGCCATTGTCACATTCAAATGTTAGGGATAAATTTAGAACTGATCTTTGTTCATTTCAAGTAAAGGTTTTGATCCCATAAAGTTGCTGCTGAAAATAGGCGTTCTGATGCTTATCGGTACTGGAGATTTTGGATTTGGGATCTTATGTCCTTTAGTTTAGTCAGAAAAGCTGTCAGCAGTACTTTTGCTGTATTATTTTCTAGTATAGCTAGTAAGTAAGTCTAATTCTTTTTGGGGAGATAATAGGTAGCAAAAGAGAAATAATGGCTTTTGCTAAAGAATGCCTTGGTTAACCGCTAGCATCGTAATAGCTGCTAAAGCTGCCTTGGATTTTCTCTTTTTGTCTGAACATGAGGAGGAGAATCCATTTGAGGAAGCTTGTATGCRCAGTGCCAATAATTTTGAGTGTTTATTTGAACTGTGCTGATGCTAAAGGTGTTACAGGAACCAGAACTCTTCAGTACAGTGGGTTTCTCTGTGCCAGGACTACAGACTTTTTAATCAGGCTAATCAGGCAAATGCGATTTTATTGGCTTGCCTTAATCCCRTCCCAATTGTGTGGTCACCCGGGTGCCTTTTCTGTGCAGAAATCCAGCAAAGGAAACTGGCTGGGAGTTGCTCTTGTGCAGGCAGACAGCAGCAGAAATGGGGAGGGAGCAGGGATGCAGACAGGAAGTTGTTTGGGAGAAGGGAGGCCACAAGGAAGCCAGTGTGAAGTTGTTTCAAGGGAGGGAGACAACAGAGCCGGAAAGTCAGCAGGGAGCAGAAGGGAAAAAATAGCTTTTCTCTAGGCTTTTAAGGGAGAGCACAGACTGTAGGGAGAACTGATGTGGGCATTGTTTTTGAATGTCTGGGCAAWCTGCTTCTAATGTCAGACCATTGTGGCATAAAACAGTGCTTTAAAAATAGCATGTCTACTTGGTTGCTTTTATTCAATTGGAATAGTTTTATGCCAGCCATGCTCCTAAGAATGAGAGTGAGCCAGGTGCTGAGTGCTTCAGCTGCTTGAAGTGGTGTCCCTTTTCAGGGAAAGTGCACCCAAAGGCCCCATGGGTCTCAAAGCCTGGTCTGATGGGGTGCTGTATTCCCACCATTCAACACTGATGGCTGCCGACTCGAAGCAACTTCCTGGGAGCAGCATCCGAATGATTTGGCTGGATAGAAACTCTGCAATCAAAACAACACTAACATAAGTGTTTTCTTTTTCCAAGATTGCTTGTGCACTTGGAGATAAGAGCCCTTCAGGAAGCTTCAAGTTGAAGAGTAGCTTTTTTCTTGATGTATCTAAATTGAAAGCTTTTATTGAACACATTGAAAATATCCCCTTGAACAGGATGTACTGCCCTGTCAAGACAGAAAAAAAAARGGGAAAAAATTCAGTCGCTTTCCTTTGATGGAAAACAAGAAACCAGGAAGAGACAAGTCTGTCTCAAAGCTGCCCTCTCTGATGCAGGATGAAGCTGCTGTTAGATCTTCCCTAACTTTTGCCTGCGGGTGTCAGGCAGCTTTTACAACCCTCCTCTGGAGTGGCAGCTGTAGCCTGGTGTCTGTTAAGCACAATATGTAAGCAACTTGCTGGTACTTATAGGAACCAGGATGAGAGACAAAGCCAGGAAAATTCTGGGCAGGTGATGATGTGACCTCCAGTAGAAACACATTTTGTCATTGYCCACCTCTGAACTGACCAAAAAGACCCCTTTGAGTCAGATCAAAGGTGCTGAGAGGAGTTATAGGCTGTTTGCTAGGAGGTTGTTTATACCTGCGCAGTTATTTCTTGTAAGAAGAAGCCTGCTTTTTGAGCCTTCAGACTCGTTCCAAGAGGTTGGACTGAAGGAAATGAGCAAGCATCTACGGAAAAAGTGTTCTTAAACTTGGGAACAGTGCACATCCTGACAGTGAGAATTAATCAAAGCTTGTTTACAGAAGTTATTTTTAGCATTAAAGGTTATCATAAACACTGCAATAAGCATTTGCCGTTACAGTTCAAAGTTTCTTGTCAATGAATAAATTCTGTTTGGTGGGTAGAAAATTTGTCCAAATAAGTATGTACCAAAATTTAATACAATCTGAGACATGGAGTGAAAAATACTGTATCAAAATTTAATGCAGTAAGAAATGCTGCCTTGGGGCAAAGTGAACCGTGGATGACCCATCAAATAGTGGGACATGGGACACAGTTGCTCTCTTTTTGGTTCTCGTGTAGCTCTGACAGTCATCCCAGGAAGGCCACAGYGGTTTTTTGAGGCTTTTTGACATGTTTCAACATCTCCCAATCTAACCTGACAGGGTTTCTCCTCCTGTATAGGCTTCCCAGCWTTATGTGAACACAATCTTGGCTGGRCTYCATCAATGTAACTACAATATGAACAATAATATTACAGCACTTCATTCTGCTGACTGTGCTATTAATTAATGATTAAACTGGCATATTTGCAGTCCAGTCTCCCTGTTATACTGTCATGGTGYTTGAACTGAGGTACTCCCCTTAGTTGAAGAGAGGTGGAAAAAGTTGTAGGAAAAATCTCGAAAACACATCCTTATTTAAAAATTTCGTTAGCAGCTATTTGGAAAAAACATTGCTAACAAAAAAAACCACAACAACAAAAAAACCCCACACCCTAAAAATCAGTGTAAGTTGAGTCCCACTGTTACCTTTCTTCAAGACCTGCAAAAACCTGGCCACTCTACATGAGGTGCTGCTCTCTGGACAAAAAGACCTCAGACTAACTGGAAACTAAAGGCTGAAGTTCTGCTCGCACCTCCTCATGCTAACTTCCCACTTCCATTTGGTCCAGTTTTCTCAAATATTTTCCATCTGGAGCTGAATTTTCTTATGCTAACGCTTAAGTTCAGCCCTAAGGTAAATTAATGAAGACAATTTAAAGCAAAGTGAAAAGCAATAGGGATTTCAGGGAGGAGCTTGCAGTAGCCATGCCATTATTTGTTTTGCATTGGCCAAACAGATTCTTTCTAAAGCAAGCCAGGCCTGTGCTTGTGGCAATGAGTGACTTGCTTGTGATGTGTCAGTGTGCTAAAGTGTGTGTATTCTCTGTGAGTAGCCAGTAGTTTCCACAGGAGAAAGGGAATGTTCTATAATGCTGACACTGCAGCCATCAGAGGCACTCCTATTTATTATTTACATTACTATAATTATACCGAGTTACCTGATACAGGGCATAGCAGGGCCGCCACGGTGAAGCCCAGCACAGTTCTCTGCTGCAGACTGAGGATCCTCAGGTAGCTGATCTGCTTCAGTGGGTGAGCACAGATGACACGTTCTGGGATGCTGTCTTTGCAGCCACTGCAAAGAACCTGGAAACAATGGAAGATGTGAACACCTTTGCTGTGTCCTCCCAGTGCTGGAGCTGCCCTGGGTGGGCTGCTGGGGGCTGCTTATGGGGGASAGGCAAGGAATAGATGGGCAACAGCAGCGGAGTGGCTCTGAAGGTCCTTGTCACCTCCTTTTTGTGCCTGGTGGTGCCTGCAGTTTCCTCTTCTTTGAAACGTGAGCACACCCTATTAAGTGCTACAAGAAACCCGTATCTGCCARCTCCCCTTTCCTGCTGCAGCCAGGCTGCTAAGGAGAAAGGAGGGGGTGCAGTGGGGTTTATTGGGTTACCACAGAGGCTGGAGTGTGTCTGCAAAACRCCTTGGGCGTGCTTTTGGGTTAGAGGTGTTCAGCGGCACAAATAATCTTCTGTCTCTCCTCCCTGTCCACATCACAGATGCCTCCAGCTGGACCAAGATAATTTTAATAAAAACAGTTGAACTCTGATCCCACAAACCCCTGTAGCCACATGCTTTAAAGCTGACTATATCTTTAAGTGCTGTGCTCAGCTCAGACTTTAAGGGTTTGAACCTGCAGCCCTGATGTGAGTGAGCCGTGTCCTCTGTGTGTGTTTGTATAAGTAATATAATTTATATACATGGAAAAGCAAACTTAATCATCTGATAATACAAGTAAAGTGTTTGTCTTTCACTGTTGGAGGCATTTAAGAATACAAATGCTTTGAATAGCCTTCCTGCCTTTGAATGGTCATGTTTTGTTAATGCAAACTTAATGAGCTGGGAAAAAAAATGGAAAGGAGGGTCTGGGGTTAGAGCTGAAAAGTCATTTTTTCTCTGAACCCACACTTGGCTGATTGTCTTGGGCTATAGCCATGATCYCTGCTGAATAAACCATTTGTTTGCTTCCGGAAAAGTAAAAAAAAGACCCTTGACATTCTTTACGCAGCAGAAACAAGCTTGGGAGCAGATGGTCACTTACCTCTTTTTTTTTTTTCCTTTTTTTTTTTCCTTTCCTAAATGTCATTTTGGTCAAAGTGCATACTATTCAAATTATTATTGTGTATTTTCTGTATTTTAAATGCTAGTCCTGATGTAATTTCCTGAAGTAATTTGCTTTGTACTGAGGAGGAACTGGCCCCTGCATGTGTAGCCAGAATYGCAGTGCAGGGATGTGAAATGATAAATCCCCAGCCTGTGCTTGCCTTCCCYAGAGAGTGTCCTCTCTTCCCTGCTACCAAACTGTCTTGTTGAGAGCAAAGGGTGATAAACCAGGGGCTCTCTCCCCATGGCTCCGGGGCTGAGYCCATTTCTTCCCTTGTTTCTATGATGTGTGATGGGCTGCTGCCCAGGAGGGATGTTGAGGAACAGGAGGGTGCAGCAGCAGCAGCCAGCATCGTTTTTGTCACCACTCATCTGTTGCAAACACTGCTCAGTGGGCTCTGCATTGCAAATGCCCATCCCTCTTGGTTCGCTTGCAGTCCATCCTCAGGCACTAGCAGATGCAGTTCCAGGAGCTGTACAGATCTAACTTATCCTTTAATCATCACTCATTAGTACTTCAAAGTAAAAACTGCATTAGTTTGGCTCAGCCTCTTCCCTATTCAAAGAGTAACAAACCCAAACCATGTATTATTTTACAAAGCAGTGCTCTATTCCTGCTTCTAGACTTCTTGCAAAATGAGGATTTCAACAAGAAATATGAAGGAAAATGATCAATGTGCTGTTTTCATTGAGGAAAACAAAGCTAATGACTTTCCTGAAGTGCTAACAGTATGTGCAATACAGAACAGAAACTAAACTGAAATTGCAACATTAAACCAACAAAGAAGAACAACGTCTCCAATAAACTTATTTGAGTCCCACTGTTCTTGCAAGTAAGGCTGATGCAATTATGGTTGGAACCTCTAGACAGCAAAATTGGTGGCAGGGCCAGCCTGTTGCACTCTCGAGCCACCAGGAAGGGGCACAGAGAGCACAATTGCTGCAGCTCTTCTCCCATCATCCTTGCTGCCGAGGGCTTAGGGCACCTTGGATCTAGACGGGACTTATCCACAGCCTTATATCTTGAAGTTGGTTATTMCTTATTCTGAGACAATAAGGTGGGCTATTTTGCATTTATTTGCTTTTTCTGTTCAAAATCAGAGCCTTACTGTGACATCTGCAATGTCTGATCACAAACAAAGCTGTAATGATAAGCTCACCACTGTATGTCTGGGGTACAGGGACCAGATGCAATATCTGCAAGCAGTTTTGTAAAAAATTATCCCAGAAGTTTCACATAAAACGTATCAAGAAATTCATGGGCCAACTCTTATGCCAAAATTTTTTCAATACTAGTTGTTTGCATGTCATTCCATGACAGATTCTTATTCGTGGAGCTCACACATGCTTAAAAGCATAGAAGAGAGATGGACATTTGTGTGACTGGCATTCATAGGAGCTGTGTGTGAACTTCTTAGAAAGCTTGACCTGATGGAAGAGTCCTGTTAGAAGTTTGTTAGGAATGCACAGATTTATGTACCTTGTGTAAGACTTGCCCTATACCTTGTGGCTGTTAGGAGGTACAAATGTTGCACGTGGCCAAGAGAACGTGCACAAAGAAGATGCACTTCAGTGCCTGGGTATGTAGGTGTTAGTGACTGAAAACTCACCTTGCTGGAACATGCTAAAGGTGAAGAGAGGGTCTTTCATTTGGCAAAACATTTAGGAAAGTATCTCCTTCCTTTCTAATGATAAGGGCATCCATTTCGTAGCTATTCGRAAGGGATTTGTTGAAAGGAAATTCTAACAGTAAAAAAAAAAAATTGTCACCTTGTAACCTGATGTGCTTGCATTGAAAAAGGCTGGCTGGGGTGCTGAGGGCTGTAAATGCTATTTTTTTGCTTTTTTTTTCTCAGTATGTGCTGACAATGAGAATGAACTAGAGGCAGACCAGCAGATGGACAACTTGTACCTGAAAGCTTTGGAGGGATTTATTGCCGTGGTGACACAGGATGGAGACATGATCTTTCTGTCAGAGAATGTCAACAAATATATGGGTCTTACCCAGGTAACTTGTTCCCTTATGCTTTCCTTTCTTTGCAACACAGTTCGCAGAAACAATTCTTATGCCTAAATGCAGAAAATCTAGCTGTACAAAAAAAGACAGGAGATAAAAATGTCTTATTTCTCAGGCAAGTGCCCCGTACAGGAGACAACACAGGTTGGAGGTTCAAATTGTAGTGTCTGGTGGCTGCAAAATGCCTTCCTAGATATTATCAGGGAGAGGAGAAGGCATTTTTTCTGCTCATGCCTTAGACTATGGGACAGAGGGAATARAGCTGCTGTTTTGGGTCCCCCATTTTCTGCTTTGTGGATTGRAAGTTTTGTCCTGTGTTGAAAGTAACAAATGGTGTTGACTGTTAACTGCASCGTGCAAATTCAGAGATAAGAGAATTGTTGTGGGGAGAAAATGAGCAGTTATGCATAGGATAAATAAAGGGAGGGTCATGGGATTTGTGTCTGTGAGCATCCTGTTGATGTACTTAGTTCTGGTGACTGGTTTCATTTGAATTGTATTTAAAAATCGATAAATACTTCCAGTTGCTTCAAGTTGGTTAAGTGTAGCTCTTCTACACAGGTKGAACTCACTGGACACAGCATTTTTGACTTCACTCATCCATGTGACCATGAAGAAATWCGAGAGAATCTGAGTCTGAAAAATGGTAATAATAAAAATAAGAAAATCCCTATTTTGTCTTAAAATAACTAAATGAAGTAAATAGCAAGCAGCAGAGATCTGTTAGTCACGGAAAAGAGAATTTTCATTCCTGCAATAATCATTAACTGTTAYTCAATGCTTTGCAGATTTGTTTTGTTTTGCCAAATACTGCTTTAATAGGATAGCACTGATGAATTGTTTGTTTAGTATTTTCCTTTCAACAAGTTATGACGGGCATAATGTTTTCAATTGTAAAGCTTTGGAAAGATTTATATGCTGCAAGCTAAAACATAGGCTTAAAATGCACCAAGTCCYATTCAAGGTCCACTTAAAGTTTTAGGTCTGAGCTCTACAAACTGCTCTGCAATGGTCCAAGCAGATTTGACGGTCTCTTCAGGTAAATTATGTGAGAATTAGTCTGTTATTTCTGTTGAATCCTTAATGCTTATCAGTAGGAGAAATCAAGAAGGAAAATGAGAAAACTGATTTGCCATTTTCCTCATACAGGTCCAGGCTTTGGAAAGAAAAACAAAGAGATGTCAACTGAGCGTGACTTCTTCATGAGGATGAAATGCACTGTTACCAACAGAGGCAGAACTGTTAACCTCAAGTCTGCCACATGGAAGGTACCGTATTTGAGCCACAATAAGTGGTTTTGCTTTAAAACACATTTTGACGTGTAAAGAAAGTACATGCTGTGTTTGTTTCCCATTATTTCAGGTTTTGCACTGCACTGGACAAGTTAAAGTGTATAACACTTGTCCTCCTCACAGTCTATGTGGGTACAAGGAGCCTCTTCTCACCTGCCTGATAATAATGTGCGAGCCTATTCAGCACCCTTCAAACATTGATATCCCTCTGGACAGCAAGACTTTCCTGAGTCGTCATAGCATGGACATGAAATTCACCTACTGTGATGACAGGTAAGCTTTCCTGACTTTTCCTTTCTCTAGGTGTTTTTGTCTTCTTGAACAAAACATGCAGTTCTTCCCAAAGTCCTTTGKGGATCTGGTAAGCAAGGACTAGAAGAAAGCACAGCCTGTTACCAAAATTTAGTGGCTTACTTAACYTACTTCAAATTTCAATTTAGGCAAAGTGGTACTTCTGCTGTATTTCCTCCGCCTGYCAAGTGAGGAATTCTATTTTTCTGGCAGAAGATGAGGCAACYTGGAGCCACAAGCATCATCTTCTTGGGGTTTAACAAACTAAAGGGTACACAGGATTTCTGTTCCCATTTTTTAGAGACACTCCATATGGACCTTAGTCAAGGACTGTTTCACGGTTAGTTTGGCCCAGAATGCTGTTATCAGTTAGCTGGCAAGTACTTTATGCTTTAAACTAGCCAAGAATTGTTAAGGTTTTCTGAGTACCTGCTGCTCTGAAATGGAGCACTACCTGCGCCTTTTAGTGACAAAATGAAGGGGAGGATCTTGGGTTAGGAAAGGGCCTTGTCCTTGCTCCCCACACATCCCTCCTAAGTGGAAAAAATAGAGATCCCTCATCTCCACCTGCCTGACTTGTCCTGGGATCTCCATGGCATTTCATGCCACCTGCCTCTTCTGCCTGTCTGCATACTGTGACAACCATCTTCCTGCATGTCAGCGAGCCAGAGATCCCTTCCATGAAGTGTCTTACTGTTCCCCATTTGCCTAAAAGGTCCTGTCTTTTCTGCTGTGGATTTGGGTTTTTTTGGGGGGAGGTGTTAAGTTTATGAGGTAATCCTGAATTTAAGATCTACTTTTCTGGCTAAAGAAATTGGTCTCCTGCAATTCAGAGATGCTAGCAACCTCTGAGGTCTGGAGGGTTATCAGAGGGATTATACATATGCTCACAATTTGTGCAGAAACTCACAGGACCAACATTGTTATTTTCTTCAGCCTTCAAAGGTTTTTTTAAACTTTGCTAAGAAGATTATTTTTTTAAACAATGTGATGAAGCAGCCATATAAACTTGCAGTGTTAGCAGCTGTGGATGAAAACAAGACTGCAAGTGTGAAACTTGTGACTGACCTTCTTCTGACCTCTCTGAGAACTGAGCAGCAAGTGTGCTGTAACTAGAAAGTGTCTCTGATGTAATCACAAACAGACCTTTTTCTTTGTTAATGTTTTCAGGATGAAAATACTGAGTTATCGATAGGATTTTGCTGCTGGAGGGAGAAGCAGTAATGTGGTAGAGACACATTATTAAAAGCAATATGTCTTGGAATTACTGGGATCATTCAGTGGCAGGCTAGAGGAGAGTAGCAGAAGATTTTGCTTTATTGCATCATTCACATGTCTCTTCAAGACTTAATGCCTAAGTCATTATAGATGAGAATTAGAGGGTTTGATGCTATCCCATTAAAGATACACATGCTTATTTTAAAAATAATGATATATTGTGGCCCATCTTAAGTGGCGGGCATTTGATTTACAGGGAAAATGTTTCGCATGGCTGGGAAATACAGCAGCTTCCTCTGGAGGATTAAACGTAGGGATTTTAGAGATTTTATCTTTAAAACCAGACTACAAAGTAGCACACCTTTTATAGGATAGTTTTGGTTGCATGTTTCATTCCTGTTCTATTCAGATTTCAATACAGCTGCAAAAAGCCAGCCAGGCCAGAGAAGAAGACCTCACAAACCTTTCAGTTTCTTTGCAGCAGATCCGCCTGGCCCCTGCTTCCCTCCCAGAGGGATGTTGATTTCTSTCCAGCAGGCGACACATCACTCGGCACATAAAAACGCAAAACACTCAGCTGTTCTTATCAAATTCAGTGCTGCTAGACAAATTGCATGAAGGAACAGCTTATGCCAAGAATGTAAATCCAGGCTGGGGAGCGGAGGAGGGAAGGCAGCATGTGCCAGTTGGATGCCTAAACCCTTTTCTACATACTCTGTCCTTTCTGCAGCAATGCAGCAGGGCTGACACAGCTCACTGCTCCCTTAGGGATTGTTGTCTTTCCAGTTCAGGGCTGGTATCATGGAGGGCAGTGTGCCTCCTCTACCAGGCTTCTGCAGTGGTCCCAGCATCTTCCTTGCAGTTCATCTGGTGTGGACAGGTCTGCTTCCAGGGAGCATAAGTTTTTATTTTCAAAGCACTCAGTTAAAGAAACTCTTGGATTTCTGAGTATAATCTGCTTAGGAAAGCTCACACTCTCTTGTCTGTCACAAAGCAACATGCAAAATACGGGCTGGCTACCTTATAGCACTTTATAACGAAAACTAATTGGCTTTTCCCTTCGGGAGGGTACAGGGTAGAAGCAATATGAAGCAAGCAAGACTGGCCATCATTTAAAACATGTGAGATAGTAGCCCATATAATTTGTCTTCCAAAACTAAATTATGTATGTGAGCCCATGACTTGCCAGTGGTTAGGAGGGATATGTTTGTATTCTTAGAACAGTTTTTGCAAAGTGATGAGCCTATAGAGAAAGGTTCATGAGATATGAATAATAAATAAGGGTTGTTCTGTTAAATGCCTGCTTCAGCCATTCCTGGAGAATGATTTAAAAATGTTCCCCTGCTCCACTTATCTTGGCTAAGTGGTTTACAGGAAGGATTATTTAGCTCTAATACAGAAATGCTGATCAGTGGTATAATTGAATAATCCAAGTGAGGGTTTAGCTCAGCTGCACAATGCTTTTGTGTCAGGAAAGATTGCCAGTGAGGGTGTTCTAGTCAGGAAAAAATATGTCTTTGCACAAAGGCAATTTTATAACTTTGGCGTGTCTGCATGTGCAGGGCTACGGGGCCAAGGAGCAGGTAGAAATAGCGGCAGTATGTTCCTGTGCTGGAAAAATCCACAAAACCAAAGTGAAAAGAAAGAAAACCAAAAAGAAAGAACTCTTCAAAGTAGAGTTGAAGAAGACAAAAGGAGCAATGCAGGATATGTGGTGATTCAGCCTAGGATGGAGCAGGAAGATCCAGTGCCRTAGCAGTGGTCTCAGATTTCCCTTATGTGGGATCCAGGCTATGCCCAACAGGGAGGAAACTGAGTTTTATTCTGTTTCCAGTTATGTCCCAGTAAAACAGAAATATGCAAGCACAGGACTTTGGATGGGGATTTAAGTCAATTTGGCATTTGACCTATATTTGGGGAAATTTTTTAAGTTATATGAGGAACATTTGAATGGACCTCCTGTCCTTTCATTCCTGCTCAGGGGMAAATGCARTATGGAGASAAGAGTGAAGTGGTGATATCTGAAGCCAAAGATCCRCAYTTGACAAAACTGACTTTTGGTGTATGTCACATTTAAGAGTAAAACRTGGCCTACTTCTTTTGTTAGTAACAAAACCTTGATTTTGGTAGACCAAATGAGTAGGAGTGACAGTTCTGGTGAAGGTTTTCATGTACCCGTGTAGTTTTTTTGCCTCGTAGGGCAGATACATCTGACTGGGCCAGCCATCCCTTTCAGGAGTAGCCAGGTGTCCCAGGATTTTGCATTTTGGGTTTTCTTTCTTTGGCCTGGGTTAGAGTAGAAGCAGCCATGAATATTTTTGAGAGGAAATGTAGTTAGTTGGCAAGACTGTCCCTCTGCCCTGCAGCCTGCTCCAGCAGCTGACAGTGTGCTTTACCCCAGGTGTACTGTCTGTGTTAGGCTTCATTATTTTTCCTCTTTTTTTAACTCATTCTGCTTTAAGTATAACTTTGTTTTGTTTATTCCCCTCAAGACCAATTTAACTTCAATAACTTGGTAGCTGTTCGAATACAGAAAGACTTTGTCAAGAGATCCACACCCTCACACACACAGTCCGCACACGGCCCAACAAATACACACCCGGGTTTTTTAATGAGTAGTAAACATTAGAGCTGTCTTCCACAGCCTGACTTCTCAGTCCTGATGGTTCTTGTCATACTATTTTAACTCAATAAATAGTATACAATAAAAACTTTGTGCTCCTATTAAGGGTARCAAAAGCACAATTTTAAGAAAAACAAAAATTCTTGAACTAGCTCATCTTGTAGGAAGTGCACCCTCAAAGCAGTGAGTTTTGTTTGCTTTGCGGTGTCTTGAAGAGATAAAATAGGGCAAAGTTGTACAAACCTAGAAATAGGATTCAGATCACTTGTTTCTTAGTTGTGTACCCTAAGCACAAAACTTTGCTTTTACTYCATGTCCCAAAAATTAAATACTAAGATACTTATATATATTGTATATTTAARGGAAACTGCTCAAAATGTACTTGAGTGGTGGCAGTTGGGACAGATCTGCCATTGCAGTTGGCTATTGCCCACCTCTTCACTGAGTTTTCTGAGATTTTGATCTCTGTACATCAAGATGACAAGTTTAGCATAGAAAACTGAAGTGCCAGTCTGGCAAAATTAAAATTCCCCCAAAGGTATTTGTGTTCTCAGAAATGAGTTGGCAACAGGAAAATAAACAGCCTCACAGCCCACCTGTCTTCTTCAAGAAAAAAAATATTATTTTCTTACTAGTTAGCATTCTGCAGATGCAAAGGAAATACAAAACCAACCATGTCAGGAATGGCATCTAAAACCACCATACAGTTTATTTTCTAATGTTGTCGTTCCCCAGCTTGCACAAAGAGCAATTTTCTATCTGGTGTCTAAGCAAAAGTAGAAATCCTGTGCCTGAGCTCAGCTTTGTAAATGAGCCTTTGGTGCCATGGGACATAGACATTTCCCTGACTTTCTTAGCTACATACTCCTCCTTCTCATAGCTCCATGGGATGCCTTTTCCTTTGTACCTAGTCCTCTGTGTGCTCACTTRGCATTTCGTGTTGCTAAGAGGCTCCTGTGGAGAGCTCATGGTGTTTGGAGGGTGCACCTCACTGGCACACCACAATGCTCAGGTGAGGTCGGTGCAATTTCTGTCCAAAAACACTCACTGCCCTCTGGCCCAGGGGCTGCTCGGGCTCTTGGCTGTGCCCAATCTTCTTTTACAAACATCTTGGGAGAGCCACAGGGTGGGTCTCATGGATATAGGGGTAGATGCCCACCTCAACCCTGGTGCATAATGTGACATGAAATTGGCTAATCTGATTTCTTGCACARCCTGCAGCCTGCAAGATTTTTTGTAAGCTTTTAGGGGATGGCAGCACCACAGGAGGAATGAAGGAGGGTGTGAACTGCCAATTCATGTGCCCAAAACTAATAGAGATAACAATTATTGTAAAAAGAGAGTGTTTGCTATAAAACAGTAGCATTTAAAAATGTGTTTAGGAAACACTGACAGCTAATTTTACGGGGATTTTGTGAGTGGGAAAAAGGAACATTCTACAATTTTTTTTTAAATCGTATCAATCCAAGAAGTCTCCAAAGTTAAGTGTAATGAATCTGAATAGTGTTAACAGATGAAGAGGGCATAGAGGCTGTTTAGCCATTTATTATTATTTTTTAAAGTAACTATTTTTAAACCATTACTCTTCATTAGGATTTCACTGCTACCAGGCATTGGTTTAGAACTTACCCAGWATTGTGGGATTTGTGCGTAATTCTTTGATATCTTATTTTCATTTTTTTCCTCTAATATGCAGTTGGTTGTGGTAAAAAGATACCACGAACACACCACTTGCTAACTTCCATCCAAGATTACATTATATCTAATTAGATTTGACATTGTCACAGCAGGATTGCACCACAAGTCATTCTGTGCCACGGAATGACAAGAAGAGCAATTCTATAGTGAGGGTGCTCATTATGAACAGCGAGGAGCAGTTTGAGAAGGGGAATTACAGGATTGGGATACACAAATTTTGCATAGAGATTACAGTTCCTATGTGAGAAGAGTCCCTCAGCCTGCTATGATGTGTATTTTTTGTTTGCTGTCTCAGTTGCACTGTTGATATTCATATGAAGGCTGTAATGTGGGTTTGGATTTGCACTGGTGCTGCTGGGTACATGGTGCTTCTGTTTTTTCCCCATTATCTTAATTTAAATTTCCTTCTCCTTCTCCCTCCTCAACCCCCACTTGGCTCTCGGCTCTCAATGACTGGATTAAGAGTAAATCCTCAACTTCCTGAATTTAAAATCCTTCCCCTTGCGATGAGCTCCAAACTAACTGGAATGGCTTTATGATATTGTGCCATTATATAACCAAAGGCCATAGTTTTTGTTTTTAAAGACCATGTATTTACACTGGTGCTTGCAAAAGCCTCTGGTCACTTACACCAGTGTGTCCCAGCTGCCTCTGTAAAGGCAAGCAGCAGCTGCATTTTGTGAATCTTATTTTTATTAGGGCTCCTTCAGTATTTGTTGTTTTCTCCTGATGATCCAGCTTTGATGGCCAACTTATTGTGAGAACTATTTTTGAACAAGAAAGAGAAAACAATTGTGGTTTGAGAAAAAAAGTTATATTTGAGTGGGATGCAGTTTAAAAGCTCGGAAGCTTGTCAGTGAAGAGAGCAAAAATACCAACACTTTGTAACCTGGATTCAAACGTTTCCCCTTTGTTGATCTAATTGCAAGTGTAAATAAAGCTGGAAACGTAAGCAGAAGAGTAAGTTTTTGAGGAGAACCCAACACAGGCTACAGCGTTTGCTCAGCTAAAGCATAAACCCAGGTTTGTTCAGTGGAAATCAGGACACAGAGTAGTTTTTGGAGTGACAAAAGCATGGTGTCCTGGGGCTATGAGCTATAGAGTTCTGTGGAGGCGAGAGAAAAGCTGACTCAATGCCTTGGCGTTCAAGCCATACACAAAATAGTTCCATTTTATGCATCTGCCTTGCTGGAGGGGTATCCAGATGAATGCTGTGCTCTTGCTGTGTTTGTTTTACAGTATTTACATGTCTGTCTTGTAAAGAAGTGCTTGTGTCTGGAGGGCTAGGCCAAAGCTGTTCTTCCAGGGAGCACACAAACCTGAGGATGTCTCTTAAAAGCAGCAACACCACCCATCAGATGTGGTGGCAGATAAAGCCTTTCTGACAGGACCTGGACACTGCCACTGACAGCTGGGATGTGCTGCAAGATGTGACCCTTCTTTGCAAACCTCCCAGCTTTTAAAGGTTTATGACAGCTTCACAATCAATTAGTGGCTTTTCTGCTGCTATTCTCTGTATTACAGGTTATGATTAAAATTCAGAAGCTTCAGAGTTATCCAAGAGTGCCACTGTCTTGTAAACCAGAAGTTAATCTTTGCTTTCTAATTAACTTTTTTATGTACTTTTTTAACTGATCGTGTTTCCTGGAAAGTTGTGTGTGATGGTATTTCCCATTGAAATAGAACTTTTTTGTTCCACCCCCTCATTAGAGAAAATCATCTGCACAGTTTGATGACCTATTTTCATTGAGAGAAATCCTGCCTTGCCTCAGAAAGACACTGAAAAAAGTCTAGTTTTTGAGATCATAGCTTTCTTTGTGTAAAATCTTACTTAGTTTGTGAATTAGTCACCCAAGTAACGTAATCCATCTGCCAAAGTTCTCAAATAATTGAGGAAATACTAAGTAGATGAGCATATTTTTTCTTTTAACTGGCTATAATTTCTCGCCTTGCATTTTTATTTTGTTAAATGCAGTACCCAAAGTAGTGATTTTACCTTTTTGTGTATGTTTCTTAAAAGTACACATATGTTTCAATCGGGTGSTGCCAACCACTACCCCCCTCACACACATTTGACTTTGAATTGTGGTCTTTGGAAGTTTCTGCATGTAGTGAACAGTAACAAAAGTTGATACCTTCTGTTAAATAGTGTGCAACAGGCATAGGAAAGATTGCAATGCACACGCAGACATCCTTGAGAATTTTTATTCCATCAGTAATATAAGGTAGTTTATTCTGAACATGGAAATATTTCAGAATGTGAGCAGAAGTCCTCTACAGCTCCTCATGTGTTTGGAAGCTCCAAATTTCTCATATTGCTTTTTTAATTCTGTCAGTCCAAAAACTCAAGCTGATAGCTGCCCTGCACATGTAAACATATGGCTACAGTGACCTGAATTTTAATTACTTGCTTTTTTTCTTAACCAAGAATAACAGAGTTGATTGGATACCATCCAGAGGAGCTGCTGGGCCGTTCAGCATATGAGTTCTACCATGCCTTAGACTCTGAGAGTATGACCAAGAGTCATCAGAACCGTAAGTCAAGTTCTTACTTTTCTTTGTTATTTGCATGTAAAGCAAATTTGTGGGTACCTCAATAAGTAATTGAAAATACAAGTGCATTCTGTGTGCAGGTACTCTTCGAAAGCAGTATTTACACCAGGTTACTGGGCTTGTCCAGCTGAAATCTCCTGCTGGTCTTTCCAGAGGGTCTGGTTTTTGCCATAATTAAAACTAAACTTGAATGTTAGAGAGGAGAATCATTGTCTGTCTAAGGTATAGTGCAAGGTTCAGTTGAAAATTTGAAAAGCTGACTTAGGCAGTTCTAGCCTGGTGAGAAGGGAATTTACTGGTGGCCAAGAAAATTGGGATTGTTCAGCCAGGAAAAGAGAAGGATTTGGGGTGACCAAATTGTGGCCTTCCAGTACCTGAAGGGAGATTATGGAAGAAATGGAGAGGGACTATTTACAAGAGTAGTAACGGGAAAGGCTTCAAACTGGCAAGAAGGTAGGTTTAGATTAGAAATTAGGAATTAAGTCTTTAGTGTCAGGGTGGTGAGCCCTGGAATAGGTTGCCCAGTGAAGCTGCAGCTGTCCTGTTCCTGGAAGTTTTCAAGGCCAGGTTGGATGGGGCTCAGAGCAACCAGGTCTAGGGGAAGGTGTCCCTGCCCAAGGCAGGGGGCTGGAACCAGATGATCTTTATGGTCCCTTCCAACCCAAGCCATTCTCTGATTATCCTTCTCATGTGATGTTGGGCTCAGCAGGCAAAGTTAAAGGGAAATAGGAAGAGCCAACTATCTTTCCCATCCAAAGTAGATGTGCAAGGGGATTTTCTAAAAGGGATATTCATTATATAAATAATACCTACCACCAGGAACAGCTGCTTATTGTTATTGTTATGCTAATGGAAACTGCTAGTTTTAGCTGTTCCTTAAGTAAAGTACCTGAATTATTCTGGGAGCAGAGATCAGATCCAAGATCTCTCTCTTCAGCAGGCCACACATTTAAAATGTCCATCTTTTTCGTATCTGGTGTCTTAAAATAATTGGATTTAATCGATAGTCTCTGTTCTTAAGAGTTGGTGCTTTGGCTGGAGACAATCGGTGCGCTAATGTACAAATAACATTTCCCACCCTTGGCTGTTAGGGCCCCAAACCAGTTTATTGGAGAGTTCTCAGCAGCACATCACTTAAACCTCTGCAGCTGCTATTTTCATAGAAACAAAGCAAAGCAGCAAGACTGGAACCTACAAGATTAAAAAAACAAAACCCCACACACCTTGTAGTTGCTGTGATGAAGGTCTTTGTCCACAGGGAAAAGCCCATGATTCAGGTGATGTCTATAGGGAATTGCCCACCAAATAGACTTACAGAAAGTATTCCTGTACTTCCCAGAGAAAAGTTGCAGCGAAAAATAGCTGTCTGACCTTAATGGGTTAGCTCAAATGGCAAAGATTCAGGGCAGTTTTAAGTTGAAATGTTTCTTGAAAAAATGCTTGGCAGTGATGAAAGTTGTGTGCTGTAAAACAGTGTTGATATGAATCATGCTGTTTCCAAAGCTGCTTAAAAGAAAATAAGACAGCCCATACTTAGTGAGACTTATCTGGGAATGGGTAATATTTTTGTGTTTTTAGTGTACTCAAATAAAAATAAGTGATATTTATAGATAGGATGTTCATATCCTGTGCTGTGCAATTGAAAGTCATCCTGTGAAATGAGGGGGTGTGCTGTGCTGGTGCTTTTGAATCATTGAGTGGGATTTCTAAGAATGGGGTACCATCTGGGAGGAATAAAATGGGAGCTGGTAATCCATTTGATAACAGGAAAGGGAGAGTGAGTGAGCTCTTGTTGTTTATCCCTATCTCGTTAATGAAAGGGGAGCACTGAGTTACTTGTCCATGTAAAGATTTCTGGAGCGTTTTTAGTACCCACTGTGACCAGGCATTTGGTCAGGATGTTGCTCCTCACTCCAGGAATTCAATAACCTCACGTAGTGCAGGGTGTGTGTCTAGATGCCATTTGCACCCACTGAAAAGGGCCATGTCCTACAAACTTGCTGCAGCCTACGAGGTCTGACCAAGAAGCAGAACGAGGACAAGAGTGACTCTTAGAGGGGTGGTGTTACACCAGCAAAAATGCTCAAGGCACTGTGCACTGCACAGGTTATAAATATTTAGGATCAAACTTCCATAGGATTTATGATAGCACAGGATCAGCATAGTTTATCTTTTTATTATTAGAAGCACAGGACCAAAGTCTGTGCTGTGATAAATGTAGGTGCCCACAACAGAACCATCGGTTTCAATCACCAGCAAATTTGACCTCTTTAGTTTTTCTAAGATAAATAGTTCCTGTGTCTTTGGGGACTGTCAGGCTTCTTATCAGTCGGAGAACAGCCACAAAGATAAAGATGTTAGAAAACACACACAAACTTTTCAAATAGGAAATGCTGGGATTCTGTTATTGTGCATTGARATGCTGTGTAATGCGCAGGGTAGCCAAGCAGGTATACAGCTTATACAGACCYGACTTGTTCTTCCAAGCATGTAGCAATACAGAACTTATTCATTTTCCCCTGGCCGCATCCTTTTATGCATGGAAATACCCACCTCAAAATTCATGTTCAGCACACTTGCATTTATTAAACAATAATTTTTATTAGACACGTGCTATGTATAGAGTACATCTTCTCGCAATAATGCAGTCATCAATTTAGACAGTGCCCACCAGTCACCGTTTTAAACATGTATCGGAAGTAGAGGATGGAGACTGAAGTTTGAAAAGAAAAACCTCAGATGTGTCTCTTGCACAAAGCAGAACTCCTTCCCTTTCCTTCCTTCTAATTTAATGGTAAATCATGCTTATTGCAGCTTTACTGTACTGCAGGGTTGGGTGTCTTTTCCTTGAGGTGAAATAACCTCAAGTTTAAGCAAGCCACAGTAGTGCTTGTGTTCATGGCTGGAAGTTGCAGAATAGGAAAGTCTCAATTAGTCACTATCGCATGGAAGATTAGCATGCGCTTCTCATGCTCTGTTTTCCATGTTACACAAGTGAGATGCAAATTTCGATCTTACCACATAAAACTACACAACAGAATGACTGCAGAACTGTATTTTCTGATCCAGCAATTAATAATCTATATTTATTTCTACTAAGAACTGCTCTTGGTGCCACTAAAGCCAGTGGGAAATTTTGCTCCTGACTTCAGGAGGCAGCTGAGTGTCACCACCTGGGACTTGCCACTTGGTAGTACATAGCAGAGGTTCAACAAATGTTCCAAAATGAATCATGGTTTTGTGTTCTATTAAATTCATCCCTGCCTTTCCCCTCTCTCCACATAAAGATAAGGAATGTAACTGGAATGTCTATTTGATTGATGTATAACTAGTTCTGTACAGATACAGGTAATGTATACCTTATAAAAAATTTAAAAAAATAAAAAAAAAAAGTGAGAAGTTCACTCTGAAGGCAGAACCTTAAATGTAGCATTGATAACAAAGTCAGCAGTTACAAGTGTATTAGTAATTTATGAGATTACCTCATGGAGGGGCTCTGYTGTACTTTATTATATCAGAACATGACATGCTTTGAATAATAATAATAAAAAAGATTAAAGCAGTAAAAAGCTTCTTTGTAATGTAACAGGCGCCTACACTGTGACTCTTATTGATGAGCTGATGATTAGGAAGCAGTCTAATTATGTTTCACAAGCAGAGCAGAACAGTCCAGTCACTAAAACACTTTGAAATGAAAGCCTTTTGATTTTGTTCCACCAGAAGTATTTAATCAATAAAAGTAATGTTCTACTTTGTCTAAATAAATTAAATGAAGGATAATTAAATACTCCTAGGAAGAAAACAAACAAACTTCAGAAACAGAAGGATAAACACAGCAACAATTCTTTACAAAACAGTTGTTGTATTTCACAGGCCTGGATTTGTACATTTGTATAGTGGCTATGTARGAAAGGCTGACAATAAATTGTTTCTGTTAATGGCCACATTCACAAGGAATTTTTCTGTAAAAAGACCACGGAATCAATTTTCCAGTTCTTCTCAGTCAAGTTGCATTATTTCTAGGGCATTAGTTTGATGGCATACTTGTTTTGGATGTAGAAGCTGTTTAAAAGGAAAGGTTGCCAGTGTGTGGTCAAAGGTTTAGTTCAGTTGGTTGCCACTTCTGCTTCTGCTCAGTGTGACTGTGTCTGCTTACAAGTACAAGCTCTTATTAGTGCGAGTACTGCCTGTCTACTCCAGCCCTAACTTTACTGCCATTGATCAACATTATTTTCCTTATCTAACAACTTTGAATTACAGCAGACAGGACATCATAAAACTTTACGTCTCAGAAGTCCAAAGCTCCACGCTGAAAAGTCATCCTTGGCAAATATTGCAAAATATTGGGGGGTAGCAGGGCTGCAGATTTCATTTTTCAAACATTTAGAAGTTTTAAACCCAAGTTGTACTATTATTAAGTTTATTGCATGAGAAGCACAGGACAGTTCAAAAAACAGAGTTAAATAAACATTAATTGATTTGGTTACATGGGTCTTGGTTCTTTCTAGGCTGCTAATTCCAAGTTCTTGCAGAGGAACAACACGGTTGTTCAACTAGAGGGAGAAATATAGTAGTTCAGCTTTTTTTTTTTTCCTAGACAAAGCTTCCTGGTCACTAGTCTTCATTTTGATACTTTTCTAAGAGTGATATTACTAACATAAGATCTTAATTTTTAAAGAATTCTTAGTGAATATAGCTTTTAAACCACCTGATTCTTGTATTTATCAATTAGCTAAACAAGGAAACAATAAATAGTTCTCTTAATGAGTTCACTTTACTACAGATCAGTTTGGGGACCCAAACTGAGGCACTTTGACAACAGGGACTCAAGAAACATGCAGTCAGCAGGCATTAGTTTGGGAGCAGTTGGGATACTGTACTAGATTTTAAACATTCCGCATTCTGATCTGAAGATTCAGGCCATTTCCAGAACTCAAATTTTCGATCTTGAGTAGAAGCCTCAAATGAACAGCCCCTTTCATGTTCAAAATGGCTGAATTTCCCCAAAGTTAAGCATCCTTGGTAACAAATGCGTTAGTGCGGTTCTGCGTAATGAAAACTCAGAAGTGGGTTTTCCAAAACAAGGGTTACATGTTGTGTGTTCCTGTCCCGCTGCATTATTTATATCTCTTCCCCCTTTTCTCAGTGTGTACAAAAGGTCAAGTGGTGACGGGCCAGTACCGTATGCTTGCCAAGCACGGGGGATACGTATGGCTGGAGACCCAGGGAACGGTGATTTACAACACCCGCAACCTACAGCCCCAGTGCATCGTGTGCGTCAACTACGTGCTGAGGTGGGTTCATGGCACGCACCAAAACACGTGTGCATTCGTGTGCTGGAGAAACGCAATAGYTGGAGGAACTTTTCAAGGGTCTATTTATTCAGTGTTGTTGTTCTGAAATCAGTTTAGTCATGTTTGTTCAGTCTTGTTTACTGATGTTAGACATCGATGAAAAATGTGGCATGCCTGTTCCCATACGCGCTGTTGAAATACACCACAGTCTCTCTGCTCTTCAGAACGGCTGCTGTGCTCCTACAATAGAGTATAAGGTCTGCCCTGGAAGTTTTATTGAGTAACACAACTGCTGATGTGTTCTGTTTTTCTAATGCTGTGACCAAGAGATAAAATTAAGTAGTAATTGTACTGTATGTTGCTAGGAGAAGCTGTTTACCGCCTCAAAAATCAGGGCCAATCAGAAGTTTTGCCTTCATTTGGCAAAACTCGAGTTTTTTTGGTCCTAGTTGGGGCCAAAATAGGAAATACTTATTTGAGTGATAGTCTGAGTCATTACAGCCTCGACTACATCCCTTTAAAAAGCACAGCAACAAAGCCCTGAATATTCCCACAGAAGTCCTGACCACACTCTCTGCGTCATCTGAGATGGCGGTGCTCAGCAACGCTGGAACTGTGCCTTGCCTGTTGAGAGCCTGGCATGCAACTGAGAGGCCAAAATGCTCCTATGGCCTCAACTTCAGAGAGTTTGTGCTGCCTACTTTAGCCTTATCTTTCATCTTTACAGTACAAAATGCCTAAAAGCTCTTCTCTTGTTAGTGAAATTGAGAAGAACGATGTTGTGTTCTCCATGGACCAAACAGAATCACTCTTCAAGCCTCACCTGCTGACAATGAGCACTGCCTATGACAGCGGCATCCCTGCGACAGAGAAGAGTGACTTCTTGTTTACTAAGCTAAAGGAAGAACCAGAGGAACTGGCTCAGCTGGCACCAACACCTGGTGATGCCATTATTTCCCTGGATTTTGGTTAGTATTTGTAAGAATTATTTTTGTGCAACAAAGAACCACATGTGAGCCTACATTTAGAAACTTAATAGACAAGGTCTGTTTGCTGTGTGTACAAATTGGGAGTAATGTCTAAAAGAGCCCACGTGCTCACACCAGTGGAAAATTTCTGTGAATGAGCGCAGAATCAGGCTTTCTTGCTTACTAAACAACATGCATTAAGTCATGCCAACTTACTGTCATGGCAACTAGGAGCAGTGTTTACTTTTAATGAATAGCTGCAGTTATATCATAACACTGCACCAGCTAAAAGCATTCATTAATATTGTTAAAAATCCATCCAGGAACACAGAAATTTGAGGAAGCGCCTGCCTTCACCAATGCTGTTTTGACACCAAACAAAACATGGCCAGTGGAAGTGAAAAGTCACCCTGCTCAAGGTGAAACACTGACGATACCATCCTTTACTATGCCTCAGATTGCACCTGGCAGCAGTACTCCAAGTGCAAGCAGCAACAGTAGCTGTTCCACGGTAAGAAGAGGTTAAAAAACGTTAAAAGCATGTCACATTTTGTATGCAAGTCTCATCAATATGTGTAGACAACAATTTTGTATTAGCAGTTCTGTCTCACTGCTTATTAGCAAGGCCCAGTCTGTCTGTATTTTCTTGTGCTGCATCATGCCTTAAAAATCAGTAGCAAAACTATGAAAAGGGAACAATATCTTGGCTTCACATTGCACTCCTCATTGTCTCTCCACTGTCCCTCAGTAACTACTGTAACATATAAAACAACTAGTTAAAGAATATGCTACCACCTTTCATGGAGTTACCCTTAAATAAAAAGCCAATGTAAAATTGTGTGGCCACTGGGAACATTGCCTCAGACCCGTCCTCCTCTTTGTTAACTAGAAGCTGTAGTTTCTGGGGAGCTTAGCCAAATCAGGCTTTTGAGAGCAGCTCCTTGGAGTTTCCCACTGAAGGAATGAACATGCTTTCATGGYGCTGCCCCCAAGAGCTGGAGCCACTCTTATGAGAGGGCATCCATTCTTAAGAGAAGCATGGAAGTATTTCTAAGCATCTTCTTTCTTAACAAAATGATTTAATGATGTACATTTTTTGTTCCTGGTCTAAGATGCAAAAAAACCCATTTAAAATAAGATGACAGCTAGGTTCCTTTAATGGGTTCCTATATTTTGTGCTGACAATCCTGTGTCAGTGAAAGGCTTTTTATAGAAGTGGACAGTTTTGGGTTCTGAGGAAACTAAATATGCAGTCTGGCCATTCACTTTTCATCAGAAAGATCTGTTACTGAGTAATAGCATGGTGTAAATGACAAGATGCTAAGCCAGCACCGTGGTTGTCTTCCTGCTAATAACAAATCATTATTTTCATGCAGCCCAGCAGCCCAGGAGATTATTACAGTTCTGTGGATGAAGATCTTAAGATTGAGGTGATTGAAAAACTTTTTGCCATGGACACAGAATCAAAAAGTCAGTGCACCTCCCAGGTAAGGAACTATCTTCCAAAAGCCACCAAGATCAGTCCCCTGCTAGTGGACAGTACAGCTGCATATTGTGTGTACAGATATTGGTATACAGCATGTAAACTGTATTTGCACATGTACAGCAAATCTTTGATGCACATTAACAAAACAGTGTTCTTCCAAAAGCTGCCATGTCAGTGTCTATCCGTAACTCTCYGAAGGATGAGGTTCAGAGTGGTGGCACTGCTAAGGAGAAAGGATCACCAGGGAGCTTTCAAAATTTGGAAGCTTCTGTAGATTGGATAAGTAATATATAAGTAGCAGCAATTTTTTTTTTAATCCAGCCTAATGACTAATGAGTAAACATCCGTTCTAGAGCAAAATATAAATAAACTAATTCTTGCAAAACAACTAAATGAGAAAGGAATGCCCCTCATATCACATGTCTCCTTTAACTACAAAATGAAAACTCATTTTGGATATATTCTTCCTGTTTTGCCTCTTGGAGTTTTTTAGAGAGACTTGAAAATTACATGCACATAAAGTAACATACAGTCTCCATCTCCTACATTTAATCATGGTGTAAGTGTAGAAATTTCCTCTATAAATAAATAAACCCACTATTAAAAATCACAGCAAGTGAGCTAGTGAATAAAAGGTGTGGACCTGATTCACTTTACGTAACTTTAGATCATAAATTGAAATGCCTTTGTTAAGAGCTTGTACTTAATAGTCAAGRGGAAAGAACAGGCACTGCTGATGGGTAGCGCAGATCTCACACTCATCTCCATCTATTAATCCTACACAAATTTTGGGGTGCTGGGGCCCAGATTAGGTGCTTCAATTTGCCAACACAAATTGCAGGCTTAGATAGGCTGTAATCYATGTTCTGAAGAAATTTCGTCTAGGTGTGGACATAGAAACAGAAATGAAAACAAGAGAAAGAGGACACAAAAAAGTGTGGATCAGGATAAAACTCAGTGCAACACTTTACATGTGCAAACTTCCCTATTGGCAGATTCAGCATCTGCTTGCTCAGGTGTGTCCCACCACCTCAGCAGCTTTGGTGGGAAAAATGAGTGTTGCAAAAGTGCTGCAGGGGTGCTGTGGCTGGCTGGGAAGCCAACATTGATTATCCTCTCTGTTCAGTTCTGGTCAAATGCCAAGAGAAGTGACTGTGGATATGACTAGTCCTCCAAGGTGAAAAAGAATACAGATGAAAGTGTGATATTGTCCTTCAGGCTARATTTTTTCAACTTTTGCGTTTTTAGACAGATTTTTTCATGTAGCTCGATTACGAGAAAGCTGTGTTTTCTATTTTAACGTGAAAAAGCCTGAGGCTGAATTACATGCCACATGTTGTAGAATCTTGGCAGACAAGTTATTCAAAGCTTAGTAAAACAACATCTACTTCAGATCACTGTGATGTTACAGGCTACATGCAAGCTGCTTTACCAAATATTGCTCCTCTGGGAGGGTTTTTCCTTCAGTTTGKTGTCTTAATTTTGCTGCTGATTAAATGATGAAGATGTATGCTAGCAGAGAGATAAGAAGGTTTAAACAGTATTTGGCCAGTTTCATTAGGTAAATTTGGCATACGGTGATTTTTCAGCTTTGCATCGATTAGTATTCTATATCACACTAACTGCCACAACTATTATTAACTTACAGTTTCTTYATGAGCTTACTTTATCTTTGCACAGACTGACTTTAATGAACTGGACCTCGAAACCTTGGCTCCTTACATTCCTATGGATGGAGAAGATTTCCAGCTCAGCCCAATCTGCCAAGAAGAACGTCCTCTCTCTGAAAGTGCACAAAATACCCAGCAGAGTCTAAGTAGCATGAGTACCATCTTCCAACCCCTCGCTCCTACTTCACAGAATCAGTTCCTCCCAGAGAAATACTGCCCCCAGCTATCAAATGAGAAAATTAACTCTGGTCATGGGTCCCTGTCATCGGTGTTCTTCAACAATATGAGCAGGTCATCACTGCCACCATACCATGACCAAGCCAGCACTCCCCTGTCTTCGATGGGAGGAAGACCAAACACCCAGTGGCCACCTGATCCCCCATTAGAATATGTTCCTGCAAAATGGAGACTCATGGATAAATACTCAGGACCCCTATCAAGTTCCCCCTCGGGGCCACCAATAACCTCTCAGAGGGTGCCCATATATAAAAAAAGGTATGTGTTTCTGTGGTATAACTATGTATATTTACCCAGAAAATAYTTTGGGAGATGAGAAGGGTCGTAATCTTGAAAATTAATTTCTCTCAATTCAGTTGGAACAATTTGTTTTGATAGCATCAGACTGCAGGTCTGGGGAAATTAATATGGTGCTCTCCCAATAGCAGTGAGTCTGGAAGAAGCAGAAGTGGGCTAATTTTTCATTGCCTGTAAGCATACGCAAATGAATTTCCTGCTGGTCCAGTTAAAATTACACCAGTAATTTTGCAAAGTGTGCTTGACTTTTTGCAATTTAAGAACAGTGTCAAAAAGACTTACTGGTCCAGCAGCAGCAGGGACACACAYRTACTTTCCTACCTYGCATATATTTTCTGCACAACAGAAGATGGGAAAGAGGGAGGAATGAAAGTACATTATTGCTGGCATATGTAAATACTACAGCCAAGACTTAAATTGCASGCTCTTTTTGTACAACCCTTTTGTTTRCCTTCTTAAACATGGGAACAGTATGTGATGAGATGTAGATCAGAGGGCACAGTCCTAGAAGTTGCCTCATAGTTAGAAGTTTTCTCTGTATCTCTTGAGATTTCCATGTTGGTCACACTAACATGTTCAGGAAGTACATAAAATAGCAATGGTCATTTTAAAACTTGAAGCTGTGCAGTTTCCTTTTTGGRATTTCTTGTTGGCAGAAATAGCAGTGTCTGAATGTGCATCTGGAAAAAAAGGGTTTTTCCCTTGTACTTAATAGCGTTCATACTTATTATGTAAAGCAAGGGGACACCCATGGCTCTCAAATCCTGTTCTTAACAATTACATGACTTTCTTTTCCTTGGTATTATTTTGTATGCATGGAGATCCCTAGAGGCTGTTAATGCTAAACTTCCATAAGTATTTGATCGTAAACGTCAAAAGTTTCTAAAGATGGTGGGATGACTAATAAAAGGAAATAAAAACMTTTGATGCTTCAGATCTGTCCACTGGCAAGTCTCAGACACCTTAAATGTCTTTAAATGAAAGAAGGATCTGTATAAATGAATGAGATAATTTTGATTTGCCTCCCTGTGTGCTCACAAAGATCTCCTCTCCACAGGCCCCTGGATTCTTTTGGACAACGAGGCATAGATGTAAACCCAGCAAGACTTGCTCTGTCTAACAGTTTGAAACTGAAGCGACAACTGGATTATGAAGAGCAAGCCTTGCAACAGCTGAGTGGGGTAATCATTAGAAATGCATCCCCTTCACAGCTTTGGACTCACCACGTCACTGGTGTAATTGTTTGTTGTGCTTCTCTTCTCAATCTAGGGAGATCCATCTGTCATTAACCCATCTCACTTAATGTGGAAAAGAATGAAATTTCTCAAGGGGGAAAACTGTTCCTTGGTTACAGAAAAGAAGTCTCTCAGCGCAAGTGTTCTTACTGGTAAGACGAAAGTGGTTTTGCAATGTTGCTTATTGAAACACCATTTAAAGACAGGTTGAATAGGGAAAAAAGTTCTTTCAAATGGAAATGTAAATAAGCTCTGTAAATATTACCCTAAGCTAAAATTAAAGATCAGGTTGTATTGCTAAAAGCTCAACAATTTAAAGGTACATTTGATAAATACCCTTTAGCTGGTTTCATGTATGTTCACACACTTGCTTTGGAGGGAACAGAAATCATCATAATGGAGCTGTTTACCTCCTGCTGATCCAAGGTGTGAATATCTCAGAGCTAGAACAGATATTATTTGTCTACAACACTGTGTTTCCTTGCACGAGCCTATCTTGACTGCAATAGTGCTGCTAGAGCTGGGGTTGTTTCTGGACTTCCTTTGTGAAAAGATGCAGATTTGCCTATGCTGTGACACCGTCACACCGAGGTTCACTTTGCTTTGGATCACTATGATCTAGTACAATTATTACACTGGCTTCATTTAACTTTTTTCTCCATCTATTTAAATGACAGATGAATTTTTCTGTAACTCGAGAGGCCTGAGCCAACCAATGAATCAACTGCAGCAACAGCAGCAGCATCAACCCACCTGTGACAGTCCGGGTGAGAATCTGAAAGCAGGAGCGTTTCCCCCTCTGTTTTACAGTTCCCATTGTCAGGACTACAGTGTCCAGCAAGCTCATAAAGCATCAGGTAAGAGCTGTCAAACACAGAAATTGAAAAATGTTGATRGTTTGTTCCAACACTGATTCCATGAAAAAAAAACGACATGAAAAACATGGAGGAGGATGATAAAGTAAGGTCCACATATAGCACAAAAAATCAGTTCTGTGGTTTAGTGCGAAACTGTGATGTTTACATTTGTAACATACGAGAAAAATATTTTTACCCTTTGTTTCAGTTAAACTTAACACCTTTTCACCTTGGACATCCTGTCATCCTCCACCCATGCTCTTGTCTTGTGATGGAACTCATTATTATGTGGTACTAAACAACTTTGCTGCAGCATTGATGTGGGAGTTTGCAAGTTGAGCCCTAACATGTACCTTCTAAATGTTGAAATAAGTGATTAAAATGGGCAGATCTGTTCTTTTTAATACATGAGGGGACCATGTGTCAGTTCAGAAACCGTATCTTTAACTAGAGCTTTCCTACTTGCACCAATAGTTTTTCCTGGAACAATCTACATTTGGGGGTGGAAATGAAAAACTGCACTTGTTTGTGTGATGCCCTTGCAGCAGCTTAAGGTGGGGCAGAGCACAGATTTGCTCTGACACCTGGAACTGCTGGTGGTTTGAGGCATATTGACATAAAAACAGAGTGAAACTGATGTAAACAGAAGAGGGGGGAGGAAACAAGTGCCCTGTCTGGTCTCAGTGCCATAACTTAGCTCACTGCTCTATTGCAGGTATGACCAGTCGCCTGCTGGGGCCCTCCTTTGAGCCCTACTTGCTGCCCGAGCTGACAAGATATGACTGTGAGGTGAACGTGCCCGTGCTGGGCAGCTCAACGCTGCTGCAGGGCAGCGAACTGCTCCGAGCGCTGGACCAGGCGACCTGAGCGCTCCCGCAATACTCTGTGGCCTATACTGTTCAAAACAGCTTCAGTTTTAAATATATTTTTGCAAGTAGACAATTTCTAATACCAGTACACTTTTACAGGATTTTACTTAGATATTGAACCTGTCYACATTACCAAATAGTGGCCTTTTGAAGTTACTCACTTTATTATTCATATTAAAGAAATACATCTACTGTATTTTCTCTATTGCAATTAAAGTGGTGTTTAGAGAGATTGATTACCCTCCCCTTATCTCATTACCTGTAATTTATATTCTGAATTTTTTTTCCAATTTCTTGCTGATAAAAAGCTGTGGTATAAATGCCTCATCATGTGATACTTTGGCTGCAGTACTGCAAAGATATATTTTTATTGCCAAAGATGAATGGAACAAATTTGATCTCCAACCACAGTTTTTTGTWGATCTGCCAAATTAAAATCCTTTGAGTCTTTCTGTTTTCCAGCATTTATTTTATTGTAACTTTAATAACTTTGGAAAAGCATACTAAGGAAAAATCCCARCCTTCTGCCTCCCGCCCCTTTCCTTCATTTTTATACACTTTGTTGAAAGAAATGTGAATGGTGAAATGCAATGTTTGTGGGTATCTGTGAAAGTTGCACATTGTAAGCTTTTTTCCTCAGAAGCAAGCCACGTTCTCAGCTGCCTTAATCTGGCTTATCTCTACAGCCAAGGGAGTCCTACAGATTTGCCCCAGTGGAGGATTTAGACCTGTGTTTTCATTTGTGTTGAGGTTTCTTGTTTTGTTCTTTGTTGTTGCCTTTATTTTTTACACAATACAGATTTTTTTTTTTAATTTTTATTTCTCACTGGGTCAGTTGTTAATCATCTCTTGGTACTTTTGCTATATCTATGACACAACAATTTTAAGAGCTGTTTCTGCTAGAAACTTGTAGTATTTGTTGTGATGTTGCTGATATTTCAGAAATTGGAGCAGTGGCCAGTACTAACACCTCTGATTAATGTTACCCTTTTTCATTTTATATGCTAGCTAGCAATATAATTGCAATATTGAATCAATAAAACTTTAAGTAGTATTTCCCAGTATATTAGGCTAACTCAGATATAATCAGACAACAAGAATTAGGGATTGCATAGTGAGATGAGCAGCCAGCAGGGAGGTCTCTCATTTTTACTTGYCTTACAATAATCAGTAGCTAACATTTTCAGAGCTCCTTTCCAACTATCATTAATTGTCATGCACATGTTTGAAAAACAGGGCTTTGAAAAGGTTTTCAAAGGGTTTGAAAGTTTAAATTACAACGTATCTAAACAGCAAAAAATATTACASTAAAAGGCAGGTGAGCAGTTCTGACTTTAAAGTACATACAGACTTAGATCGATGTTGGGATATATMATCTTGTTTCCTCCACTGGTATAAATCACTGTAGATTCATTGAAGAAAATGAAACAGTGGCAAAGTACAAAAGGCAAAAATCTGGCCCAGAAACTTAGAACAAAAATATATTTTGAGACTTCTGAGTTTGCTGAAGCCTGGTGTATAAAATTGCTTTATTTCATGCACTGACACTTGCATAGAGAGAGCCTTGGGTTCGTAGAGCACTTCGGAGTTCGCTGTGTTAAGCGAGTCTTAACCATACTTAAAAAAGCTGAAGACCTTTTGTTATGGGTACATGATGTAAAAAAAACATACTCCCTATTATAGGCAATCTTTCAAGAGTTCATTACTAAGAATAATCTACTCCTAAAGTGCAGTTATTACTGTGTGGAAAAAATTTATTGTAAGCATCAACATCTGRTGAAAATTTGCCATCCAGATTTAACAAATTTGCAGTGGCACAGACTTAAGGCTTCAAGGATTAAAGACACTTGAATACTGCTCTTCTGTTTCTTATTTGTGTAGTTTCAGCATTAAAAATGTTATACCCTAACAGTTTACTAAAACACTCTGAAAAAATATTCCATGTCTTAATATTAATCATACTTTTTATCATAATTATTTCATAATCTATATTGCTGAATTCTTATTGACAATATTATAACTGTATGGGAACTTTAACKTGATAAGGAAATGTATTTTGACACTGATACCTTATTAAAGTATAYTGATCTTAAATTCTTTGTGACTCATTTGCTATGAATTTGTTATTTGTTGTATCATTGTAAAACAAAAGTATTTATTAAATTATTTATAGAAAATAAAGATTTGCATTGATCTTTGAAGACTGAAAGAACCATCAAATGTTACCCATACTTGAGACCTGGGAAGGAGACTGACAAAGGTCCATCCTATCAACTGCTTTGTACAGTTTACCCATCTTTCCTCAAATGAAGAATTAATGCCCTGCAGACCACTGCCCTTCTGAAACTTGTCCTATGGCTCAGAATGCTGCTTCCATTTCAAAACCGTGTTTCTGTCTGAGGAGCTGAGGGAGCCCTTTGTAATGCTACCCTTTAAAAAAAGGAAAAAGAAAGAAAAGAGGGACAAGTAAGTCTACCCAATCACAGTTTAGAGGCTGAATTGCTGCAGTTTCCAACCTGAGTGTTGGCAGAGAAACAGAAGCCATCATATTCTAGCAGTTCTGAGGAGCCCATGACTGATGGGCTTTCCCCACCAAATCCTTCCAATCCTCTGCTTCACCCTCACAGTCGTTAATTCCAATGCTGCAGTTAAACAGGTCAATCCTTTTTCATATAGAAAATGCCAGTTTTGCCTCTGTAATTACACCAATCACATAGCAGAATAACAGACACATTAAGAAATCAATTTCCAAACATTCACTTAAACTTCAGGGCTGTGTAGAAGCTGTTAGTGCTTGACCCTTGTGATAACTGCCTTTGTAGCATGCAGCACCCACACAGGCACCAGTGAGCTGCACAAACAGCAGCAAATCTTGCAAAGAGCCTGCAAAGGTGGTCTATCATTACCTCCTTTCTAGGCTGGACACTCAGCAGGAGTAGAAACCAAATCCTTGCTTCCGTTGTAGCCAAATCTGTTGTAATTAACATGAACCATACAAAACCTTCCCTTTTGAAGTAACCCCTTAGTCTTGGGGATGCTTGGACAAAGACTAAGCATAGCAAATCCTAATCCAACTGAGTATTGGAAAATAAAACACTATCTGAAATAGAGATTAACCTGTTCAGATTGACTTCTGTCTTTTAAAGATTGTAATAGCTATCTGRTAATATAAATTAGTGCCTCAGGTGTCCAAAAGCTTATTGCTCATATTCTCATACTTAAGAGGTTTCTGCATTCACCATTTCCACGTTTGAATARCTGAAGGAACATACTTGTAGTGCCTTAGTGCCTTGAGCTGCCTTTTTTCTTTCCCCCTCTGCTACAGCTAAACACTTCTCATGTTTTGGTGGTTTTTCCTTACACACAGGAACAATCCTGGACAGCTAAACTCTTACTGTACAATTTACATACCCCAAAGACCCAAACCCTGGTCAGGAACACGATGCAACCTATGTATTAATAGCTGAGTTCTGGCTGAACAGGGATTTCTTGCAGCTTTTTAGGTTCTTTTTCTTCCCAGTAGGCCAGCAGAAGTGTTTAAAATTCAGCGTACATCATCTTTCACTGCCTAAAAGCACCGTTTCTTGGCATMAGACTTTGTATCTCTAACAGCACAGCACTGAGCCCAACGATGTTGTTCAACACTCATTACATTCTGCTGAAAAATTGGCCTATTTAGCCAAGCTCTCATGACTTGGGCTGGTCTCAGTCTCTGGCTGATTATCAAGTCTATCATCTTTTTAAAATGATCAAGCAACCATTTTTCTTAGAACACMGATTTCACTCAGGTAAGATTCATGATGTTTATCAAAGAAATAACAACATACAATAAAAAATTCTTAACATTACTAGTAAATTTCTAGATTTTAGTAAATCACTAAAAACTAGTGATTACTAGTAAAAATACAAGAAAGCCCAGAAAATGTGGATAACAAAGTCCAACTGTCTTTTCAGTCGAAACACAGGCTCCTAAGCCACAGTGAGATCTGCAGACACTAYGTGATGCATCACACTCACTTGAAGCAGCAGCAGAGCATGGCAAAACTTAACACACAGATGATTCTAGGTGGKGAAGGTTTCATTTGTTGCTTCTACCTGGGAAGTTTTATAAAGCTATTCACAGACATGCCACATACATGCGTGTGTGTGCATGTATGTATATTCTTTTTAAGACTTGCAGTGGAGAACTGGAAATATTCCTCTACATCTAAATAACCAGCTTATTTTTTCTTCCTCCTCCAACTCCTAATTATAGGTCTCCCAAGGGAGGAAGACATAATTTCTAAGAAAAAAAAGTAAATCCTTAAAAATATTTTATGAGGGACAACAAGGTCTGCCACACATCCCCGTCCTGCTCCTGTAGCACAAATCAAYGCACAAAGGCTGCCTTTTGGTTACCCGGGGCTGTGTCTGAGCGGGGGAGGCAGGTATGGATTCCTGCTGCCCCGGCCTCARTTGATTGTTTCCCTAGTTAACTGAATACAACAAAATTATCATCAGAAGGCTCCAGTAATTGGGACRTACCCCAGTTTTTTGTATTTGCATTTAAAATGCATTCAAATAATAATTTTTTTTAAGTGAGGAAAACTTTAGCTACTCTTTTTTGTTGGTTTTTGTCCAAAAGCCAGACTGAAGCTGTGGCAGCTTGTGATATGCCACAGGTCTCACATGGAACATTTTCCCTGAAGAAGCACTAAATTCCTGTAATCAAGGAGTTAATTCTCTTCAGTCATGGCTCCCTGTCAGTAATGTGGTTAGGATGTCTCATTAGGGAGCAGCAGCACATGCATGAGCTTAGCTTGCAAGAACTATCTGCAAACCAACCAGCACCAGCCCTTGACACGGGACAGTGGCAGGCAGCTGGAGGTAGCAGCAGCTCTGTCACACCTTTTGCACTCTGTGATGTGGAAATTCCTGCATCTTAACTGTACTTGGGTTGCATCTCAAAAACCCAACTCCTTTTAGCTTCATTAAACAAAAAAAAAA